CAGGACCTGCCTTTCGCCCCGGAGCTGCGGAAGCTCTTAGAGTCAGTGGAGGCCCTTCTTTCCCATTGAAGTGCCTTTAAGGCAGGGTTTAGGGTTTAGGGTTTAGGGTTTAGGGTTTAGGGTTTAGGGTTTAGGGTTAAAGGTTTAGGGTTTAGGGTTAAAGGTTTAGGGTTTAGGGAAACCTTATTGCACATATCCTTGAAGGGGCCTCCACAAGGGTAAGGGAGCCCTGCAGGGCCGCAGTCAGTCGACTAGGGTTTTTTTTTAAGGGTGCCTAAACCTAAACCCTAAACCCTAAACCCTAAACCCTAAACCCTAAACCCTAGGAGGCAAAACAAAAGCCCTAAACTAAGCCCTAAACCCTAATCCCTAAACCCCGTTACCCACTCCGCGTCGCCCCTCCCCCTCTTCTGGCCCATACCCCCTTTTTCCGGGCCTGCCATTCCGGATGGCGCATGTGCGCCTCCTTCACGGTCCCTCTCATCGTTTCAGGTTGCTCTGTTCACTTTGCCCCCCTCTGGAACCTCCCGCGTACTTAGTAGAATAGTCTTTCCATGCGGGTACTTCCAAGGGGTCTTGACGGCTGAAGGCTTCAGGGTGTCGGGGCTTTCATGGAATAGGGCTCCCATAAGTGTTCTATTGAAGGGCTTGTAAAGGGGCCTAGGTGTTCTCCTGAACCTCCTAAGCGGATATTACGAGGTTCTTTCCCACGCATTGTGGGCATGAGCAGGTATGTCTTTCTGTCCGTCCTGCGCTCTGAGTGTCTGCCTGTCTCTGCGTGTGTGTGTGTGTGTAGGTGTGTGGATCCCGGGATGGTTGCCTTTTTCTGCGTATGCGATATGTTGGTCGAGGCAGCGGAGTGTTTTTTTGGGTGCTACGGCTTTTGTGAGCTTCGTCTTCAGAGTTTGGTGCCTCTTTATTGGAGGCTTGGGCTGGCCATGGTCTCTGCAAGCACTGAAGGTTGAGGAACTTATTGTCGAGACACGGCTGCGTCCTCCATGAAGCGTTGAACTGCAAAGCCGTCCTCATTTGAAACCGAGCGGACAGCGCTGCTTGGGGAAGGCGAAGTTTTGGATTGCGAAGTATCTGAGATCGAGCCATCGTCATGTGGTTCCCATGCCAGGCCCGAGGGGTGAATTCCGAAATCCGCGAACCGTGAAACCTTCTGCCGAAAGCCTGAGCCCAAAAAAGTCGAAACCCCAAACCCCTCAACCCTGATCCCCAAATACAAAACTTCCTGATCAGGCCGAACGAGCGCGGTTGCAACACCAGGAAGCAAAGGTGCGGGGCTCTCTGCTCGCCCCGAAACCAATGTATTGCGTGCTTGTATTCTGCTGTGGCAATGATAACTGTGCTTATAGCTGCGATTTGTCTTTGAAACTTTATTGCCATCGTCAGGACTACCATCATTGTCAGGCTTGCATGCTTTGCACTTTGTTTGCTATCACTTTTCAGTTTCTGATACGACCCGAATACGCGATGGTGATGGTGGTTGTGATGCTGTTGATGTTGACGTTGGTGATGTTGGTGACGTTGGTGATACGGTGATGGTGGCGATCCTGGTGATATCGTTCTAAGATATTTAAGATGTCGGCTTCCATACACAGCCCGACAAAACCGTATGGATGATTGTGTGGGCAAGTCGAAACCCTCAACGCTATGATTGTGCAAATTGTGTTGATCTCCGTGTATATGTTGACTGACTCTCTTCTGATAATCTGCTGTGATTCATTCGAGAGCATGTTCAGAAAGTGTGCATGCCAAGTTGAACCCCTCCCAAGGGCTGTGTTTATGTAGTTCGACGCGCGATCACGTGTCATCGAGTGGCTTCTGTTCCGACCTTTGTTGCTCAGACGCCTCGCCCGGCTTGTCCCA